ACACCCAGACCCAATTAGTGCAATGCCCGAGCCTCGGACTCGCGACCCCATTGATCAGAGTCAAACGCCCTAACCGTTGAGCCAAGAGCTCTTTTTTTCGTCGGCTTAGGTAAGGAGATCTTGACACTCGTGGATGAGCGTTCAGTTGACCGCTAATGGAATTCATCTGTCTTTGCCGGCAGTACTATCTGCCTATATTACCAGCTGTTACGGCTGTTAGGGCCTCTGGCGGAGCCCAAGGCAGAGCGGGACAGATGGGTTCCGTTAGCGGTGAGGTGAGCCTTCATCAATTATTGGGGTTACGTGAAGATTTAGGTCCGCGTAAGTGAGCAACCTAGGATATGGAAAAGTATACACTGGCTGGAATTCGGCACAAGACCAGTTGTGTTACGGGGAGTGTTCTATTCCAGTGTTCTGTTAGAGAGCAGCATATGCAACAGTAGTTTATGTAGGGCACCTCATTAGTCCCTAGTTCCAGCACTTTGTCGTACGAAATGGGTGGTTATAGGGTTTTATGGGTGGAGAAATAGAATAAGCGCTGGAATATACTTCATACCTTAATGACTGCTATACTGTTATTGATTTATATCTTTAGATTTTCCTAATCGGTATTATCGTTTAACGTTGTGTGGGAAAACCCGATTATCGAAATGCAGGTTTCTTGAAATTCCTGAAAAATAGAAATGGTGGTTAGGAGGCCGTCTACTTCAACTTACCTGAGGTCGAACTTATCGATTTGGAGTTAGATTCATATAGTACGCGACGCGAAGCGCCGCGCACAGCTTCTATTTACATGCGAAACAATTTACTCCCAGCGGCCATGGGAAACAAATCCAAATACATTGTTTCACTTTACACTTACTTCTGCAAGTTTCCTTCCTTGCCTATCCTATTTTCCGAGCCCCAGAAACCCTATAAACGCCGTTTCCGTAGGACAGAATGCTGGGACTAGTGGTATATGAGGTGCACTATATAAACTACTTTTGCCGAAGCATATAAGCAATCCATATCCTGTGGTGTATATTGACCTTGCTAGTTTAAGGTCAGTATGTTTAGACGTGCTTTAAGTGCTTTGCAATGCAATATTGATACAGAGTTAATTTGAAGGAGCCTAATGTTGCGACAGTCAGAACAATTGATTGAGGAGACTGCACAATGCAAGATTCTTCTTTTATGTTCAGTATTCGTTCGAACTTTACAGCTTAATCACAAAGTTATATTTTCGACTGGTTTCTCCTGTACGTTACAGGTACTATAGCAGGCTTTTTGAAACAAAGCTTAAAATCGGACTACTACCTAAATGTGCATCGTAACCATGCACTGATTTCCTGGGTTTCTAAACTCGCTGTGAATTTCTAGAGGCAGTGCACTCAGACGAGGCATGCATTAACGGACATATCGATTTGGACGCCAAATATAATTACCTCAAGTTCAACGCGTGCGACCAATCACGGTGAAATGACGAACTGCATGTGACGCCTACTGGCACAGACTGACATAATTCTGCCAATCGGTGTGCACATCAGACGATAATTGATTTTTCTGAACGTTTAAAATTTTACACTTTTGCACATTTTCTCAGGTGTGAAGACGAGTGGGGGACCTGTCTCAAAAAGTTACGCATTACAAATTTCAATTTCTCATCTTAATTTAATATCTTGCGACGACCGTATTCTAATATAAACAAAACTATAATAATATTTGTTGAGCCTTTATTAAGAGACTGCTCGTTTTCACGGTACTTTTTACAAAAAAAATCTCTCTTGTAGGCTATCCTGTACATTCTCCCGAGTACTACCTTCCCTACTTCCACAAAAATGGTGTCTCCACGGTGATTCGGCTAAACAAGAAAATGTATGATGCCAACAGGTTCATTGATGCAGGCATTCAACACTACGACCTTTTCTTTCCCGACGGCGGCGTCCCTCCCGACTCCATCATGCGTCAGTTTTTGGATATTTGTGAAAAATCTCCCGGGGCAATCGCTGTCCACTGCAAAGGTACGGTAAAGCAGACATGTCTCTTTTTCTTTAACTTAAAAATTAGGTGTGTCTCTCCATAATTGTGTGTTCAAAAAAGTGTGTGCGCTAACGACCAAAAGCCAATCCCTTTTTAGGCTTGGCGTGGGCTTTTTACGGCTCCTGCACGACCTTTTTTTTAATTTCTGACAGCACGTTTACGACTTCCTAAGGAAAGGCTCACTGCGGCGATGTTTTAAGCCCATATTTTCCATGCCAAGAGACACGTGCAGAGGTGTGCGCACACACCTGAACCCAGCCAAATGTTTTTGTCAGTTTTTTTAGAAGGGAAACAGTCACATGATACTGGTATTCGCTGATGCGACGACCCGAATAAAAATCGACAGAATCCTGGTCTTCTGGCTGCTTTGGTTTCGCAATCTGAAGCCCCGCCGGCGGTAGCTAGCTTAACGAACAGCCTTTATTTGTGAATAACTTGTATCAAAACTCGAACGGTCCCGATTTTTATCCTAAGGCTTCTCATGTTTTGT